CCGCACATCATGTGTCTGCCACTTGGTGTTGCCACTTGGCTGTGGGTCAAAAACAGGTACCCAAAATGGAACTCTGGTAAATGAGAAACAAGGACTAAAACCCGGGTTCCCCTGGTGAGGTTAAGTTTGACCCATACCAACGTAGTTCAGGCTTGAAATGACCCGTGGCTTGCCATGATCTTTCTGGCCTCTTCTCAGGGCCTGATGTCAAAAGCCTTGCGCATGCTGCTGCCCGGTGTGACGGTGTGACATATTTTTCGCATTTGGCCAGGCCTCAAGAGTTCGGCATTGCCTGAGCGCGTTGCAGGGTCGGAATCAAGTAAATCAGCAAACAGTCGTCGTGCTTCGCTACAGAAATGTCGGGAAAGCCTATGGAAAGTTGCGACTGAGGCCTCCTGAGAGAAGCTCCCCCCCTTGAAGTGTCAGACTGCGTTGCATCAATTTGAATCCTTACGCAAACCCCTTCTGAGTATTGTGCTGCAGGCTGAACATTACCAATGAGTGTCTGCTAAGACACGACACATGTTTGTAGATGGGCACGCCAGCGACTTCACAAGGAAAGTCGCCGAACGGATATTAATATATATAACTTATATATATATATATATGTATTAAATTAGTTTAATATGCATAGGCTCAATCATGAAAACCTGACAAGCCACACAGCAACTCAGCCAACCACTTTGCCCAGCCTTCGGGGAGCGCCTGTCGCGACTTGGGCGTCGACCGTGTCCGAGTGCGCGCGCGGCGCGCGCGGCGCGCGCGGCCGCGGCTCCTGCATGGCTCAGCGGCATGAAAGGCGAGGGACGTCTCAAGAATTTGCATCTGCAATGCTGCATGCGATTTGTGTCTGACACCGTTTCTTTCATCCCCACTCTTGTGGGGTGCGCTGGCACAACAAAGGTTGAAGCAGTCAAACATCAGCACTGACTCAGCAAGCCATGCATCAAAAGGAGATCATGGGTCACCTTAGACCTTGCCTCGGTGTGGTCCTCTATCAAAACATCACCATGCAAGTCATGTGCGGTCCTAGCTCGACGACGTGCTTCCTGACGCTTCTTGCGCCTGGGATGCTACTATCAATGTTGTTTCTGTATCTATGTGTAACCCATTTTTTGCACCTTTGGGGCTGGTTTCCCATACTCAAGGCACAATCAACAGTCATGCACCGTTAGAATTGGCTCAAGCGGCGTGTCCAGGCCTGTCAGCTTTCTCAGCGTCCTCAGCCAAGGGGCCCCGCCTCAAAGGTCCTGATTGGTGCTTTCAACAAATTACCCGTAAGGTATGAATCAAATGCCAGAACCCGCAGGCTCTGGTGCAAACGGAGAATCCTGCACCAAAAGCTTCGTGGGAACCGACTGTCAACCTCAACATAGGTTGTTGCCACCTGTTTGTCCAGTGAACCTGGCTCAATCGATATCCATCGCATAAGCAGGCCTTTAAACTAAACATCACTCCACGAGCAAACAACCACTTTCAGAGGCCCTAAAATCCTAAAATGTGTCCAACCTAAAGGGGAAATCCCTCGGGACTGAGGGACCTGTGGGTGCCCCAAGCCTCGGATGCCCGCGCAGACTGCCCCTGGCGTCGATCTGGCGACATCCTGTGGGTTCCACTCAAAGAGGTCTGAATCCTGTGGGTGGCTCAACTTTCAAGAAGCTGCTGGCAATTTTTGGGTTCGCAGCCATGTCAATGTCGACGGAGCTCGCAATCAAGTTCAGGCCACATCTGGAAAAAAGAAAAAAGTGCCGGTTCCACTTGCCGGGCTTCCATATTGGGCCCATTCCGTTTTTTTAGCCACACCCAAGTCGAACGAAATGAGCCAAACGCAAGAAGCACTTCGAAGTCGCCAGGCCTCCTGTCGGACGCATCGCGGCGGAGACCCCGAGCGCCGGCGTTTCATGAGCCGCACTTGCAGAGGATGGCGCGTTGCGTCGAGTCTGGGTAGCTATTGGGTGTGGCCGTGTTTGGGGGACCCCAACATGGCTTTGGTGGCCCTTTTGATTTACTTGATAAAGCCACAAAAAAATGGGGTCCTGCCGGAAAAGATCACCCAATTGCTTGATGCGGTTGCCAACATCGACATGGGTTGCCCCTCCAGCTGGCGGGGCTCCTTCTGCTTCTACCCCCTGTTTAGTGGTGTTTGAGGGAAACCAAAAGGAAAACCGAAGCCATTTTGGGGGGTCCAACCTTAAAAATGACGAGCCACCCATGTTTTTCGTCTAAGGAGTGCAAGTGAATCAGGTGCCTACCTTAAGGAGAACACAAAGCCCGTGACCAGCTGCAAAACAAATCGGAAGAATCATTTTGGCTCACCGGCCGCTGTGTTCCAAGATATGCTGCACGGAGACTTCCCAGGACTGGCAGCACCTGCGCATGGAAAGCTTTCACTGCGGATTTTGGTCGCCACTTAGCTCAAAACGACATCAATTGCTTGCTTGCGCGCTGCCGAGAGAATCTGAAAAAGCAGAATTCGCACAAAGCAGAATCTGACATGTCCCGCCTGGTTGCGCTGGGCTCCCGTAGCCACAGCGGCCCAAGCAGTTTCATCAGGATGCATCTCCATTGACTGCATGTGTTCAAGCAGATTCATGGCAGCATGGGCTGCCCCGGCCCGGCGGCAGGTGTTCATCACCGCACCGCAAACCGCCACATCAGCCTCCAGGCCAAAGCGCTGCATGCCCGACAGGCGGCACATGGCATCCTGCCAGCGCCCAGCCGCCACCACCGCATTCAGCGACGCCATCGCCGGCCGCAAACGGCGGCAGAGACCTTTCTGCCACAGCTTGGCTGCGGCCTGCCACGCGGCAGATCGCGCGCACCCGGCCATGCAGGAGCCCCAGCCCGCGGAGCCCGCAGCACCTGCCGGGCGCAAGGCTTCCACGGCCCTGCGCCACAGCAGCGCCCGGCTGAGGGCCTCGAGGCGCGCATTGACGCCGGGCGCTGAGAGGCGCTGCGCCTGCAGCGCTGCGGCCCACTGGACGCTGCTGGCCATGGCAGCGACCATGGCGTTGCGGACCACATCGCAAGCGTCACCCACCAAGAGCTGCGCTGACTCCCACTGCCTATGGCACTCAAATGCACTGATGCACGCAGAAAGAAGAAAATCATTCACGCGGATAGAAGCACATCGGGCTCGCTCCAAAAGACAACTGCTGAGGTGCCATCCGTGAGCGCTGGTGCGAACAGCCGTGATGGCTGCTGCAAAATGCATGTCGTTGACCCGAATGTTCAGACGCTTAAGATCCAAGAGGCAGTGTAAGGCCTCCTGCCAAAGGCTGCCACGTTCCATGGCCAGCAGCACCGCGCCCCAGGTGGCTGCGTCTGCCTTGGTACCCGTCGCCAGACGGAGCGCCGCCTGCCAGCGGCCACCTTTCTCGCAGGCGGACACGGCTGCGTTGCAGAAGACCGCGCTGAGCTGCACGGCAGCGGCGCGGAGAGCCGTGAGCAGCTTGAGGCCCTCGGCCCAGTGCCCCAGGCTGGCGCCTGCCGTCACCACGCTCCAAGGGAGGCTGAAATGGCGCTGTAGGTCCAAACCAAAAGCCCAGCGCCCGGTGGCGGTGCATGCGGCACAGGCAGCGCTCAGGCTGAAGTGGTCCGGCTGCAGGCGAAACAGGCGGAGGTCTTCCAACAAGTCCAAGCTCTGAGGCCAGGAGGAGCGACAGGCTGCTATGGCGGCATTGTAGAAGTACACGGACGGGCCGGGACTGGCTTCAAGAAAAGCAATGGCTGCCCTCCAGGACTGGCTTCGAGTGCAAGCGCTCAGCAAGGACGTCCAGGCACGTGGAGACGGAGAGAGGCGCTGAAGGCTGTGCTGCCAATCCATGCAACGCAGTCGTCACGTGCCATGCCAAACACGCGCCTTGCCGAAGCTTTGTCCACGTTTGCTCCACATTCTCACGTGTTCAGTGCGCCGGGCCAACGGATCAACCCACCTCTGATGCTTTGGGGCCAAAGGCGGAGGGGCGCATCTGAGTGGAGACAACTGCGGGCGCGCTTTGGCAAGGGGTAGGTTTGCAGCCAAAACTGCGGCGTATGCGGTCAAAGCCATCATTGGGCAGCTCAACAAGTTCCATGGCACACGTCAAACTGTCGAAGGCCTGTCCTTTTCTCACGCAAGACATAACGGAATCCAAAGATCCCCTGGAAGGGAAGCAGGGAGGTCCACTCCTCCGGCTCTCACTTGAAACAGCCCGCCTTTTCAGCGGGCCGCACGACCCTTCAGAAAAGCGAAGCTGTGGCTTGAGGGCATTGCTCAGCTCCATCTCTGGAGTGCTCAGTCTTGCACTCGAGGCCAAGTTCAGCTAGGCGAGCCTGGCAGAGTGCAGAAGGCCTCACTTTCCGTCATTCAATCCCTAGCCGGCCCTGGCTGCCATGGGACACTCCTGATGCCCATATGTCACTTTCTCAGCTGGAATCATGGTCGAAAATGCAATGCTCTGCCGATTACAATCACTCACCCCATGCCACGCCACTCTCACGTGCCTTTGTCCCCATAGTTTCGCCGAACTGGCATCACCTCGCATCTGGCGCCACGTGTTGATTGCATGGTATGCTATGGCGATAACGTATCATAACATAACAAAAACCAACACATGCATGCAAGCTCCGGCGCATACAGGCGGCCACCCATCATGTCGGCGCGTGATGCGCTTGGACATGGCTGGTTCATGCATCCTGGTGCCTGTGCTTTGCCTGCGTTTATGTCTCTGTCTGTGATTGCAACATGTGGTCTATGCGTTCATCTGCCATTGTGTGTGTGTGTGTGTGTGTGGACCTCTATGGCTCATTGCCCGACATGGCTGACATATGTCCTTATGCCGGTCTGTCTGAGACGGTCTCTATCTGTCTGTATCTGTGTCTGTCTGCATCGGCCTAAATATGTCTAGCACATCAGCCTCTGGTTGTCCTGTCTGCATCTCTGTCGGTCGGTGTGTCTCTTGCCTGTCAAGCCTGCTTGCCTGCCAGCCTGCACGAATGCAATAAGTACCTGGCCTTGTTCACCGTCGCTTATTCCTCATCTCATCCAGCTGCTGCTGAAGCCTAGCAGTCAGGCGCCTCTCGTTTGTCCCCTGGGCCAAGACGCTGACATTGAACATCCCATCTGGATCTCCAATAGCTGTATCTCCGGCAATGCCTCTTGCAGCTTCTTGCTAAAACATGACTCCTTGGCAGAAACATTCTGAAAATGAACGAATCCTTGACATTAGCTAGTCAAATTTCGTTTGGCAAGCGCACAACATACAACAAACACAAACAAGATGGGAGCCTGCGACAAAAGTCGTCAAAACGGGAGCTGTGTTTCCAGGTCCCAGGCAGGTCGGCTGTTTGCAGCTGCTCGCACTCCCGACACCTGAAATGCAAAAGGCTGGCGCGAAGAAAACCACCCAATGTTTGCTTTTTGCTTCTTGGCTGGGGGGGAACGCAAAAAAAACACTATTTTTTAAGGGAGGCCAACATCAAAGAAGCCATTTCGGCGTTCTATTTTGAGAAGCACGTCTTGTCTTTCTGGTGCTTCTCAGGTTCAGGAGGGAGATCACAGAGGGAAACTGCTTGGTTCATGTTAGGAGACCAGCAGGCGGCCGGTAGTCAGAAGTAGCACCTCCTGGTGAGATGCTTGTCAATCGCTGCCAACGAGCAGGATCTGTGGCAAGCTCTGTTGGAGAGAGAGGGAGAGAGACAGAGAGAGAAGAGAGAGAAACTGTCGAAATTCTGCGAGGACAAATTAGCTGGTCCTCTAAGCCGCCAATTTGATAAGCGCGGCAACGTGCTGAGTCAAATCAGCAACTTTGCACCAGGTCTTGGACATCACTTTCGTTAGAAGACTCTGCCTGCAATGAGCACCCGCAACGCTTCCCGTGGTTGAAAACACAAAACGTACACCGAAGCGAGAATTGGTGCAAGCATTTCATACGTCTTGGGTAGTTTCTGTCTTGCGTTCAGCCTATCCGACTGTAAAAACTCCCGCTGACTTGTTGATCCTTGGATGGAGTCCATCCTTGGTGTCGCCCCCATCGGCATATAAAACACTACAACAAGCACCGACCTGAATTTAGGGGCCAACAAAGCAACCAAGCAAACAGACAGACGGACGAATGAACGAACAAACAAACAAACAACAGGCAGACAGGCAGGCAGGCAGGCAGGCAGAGACAGACAGAGACAGACAGAGACAGACAGAGACAGACAGAGACAGACAGAGACAGACAGAGACAGACAGAGACAGACAGAGACAGACAGAGACAGACAGAGACAGACAGAGACAGAGAGACAGACAGAGACAGACAGAGACAGACAGAGACAGACAGAGACAGACAGAGACAGACAGAGACAGACAGAGACAGACAGAGAGACAGACAGAGACAGACAGAGAGACAGCCAGAGACAGACAGAGACAAACAGAGACAGACGACAGACAGAGAGACAGAGAGACAAGCAGACAGACAGACAGACAGACAGACAGACAGACAGACAGACAGACAGACAGACAGACAGACAGACAGACAGACAGACAGCCAGAGAGACAGACAGACAGACAGACAGACAGACAGACAGACAAACAGACAGACAGGCAGGCAGGCAGACAGACAGATAGACAAAGCAACAACGAACAAACAAAAAGCAGGCAAGCAAGGCAAGGCAAGCGAAGCAAAGCAAAGCAAACCAAAGCCAGCACGCAAACAAAATGTCAAGGAAACACACAACACAAAAATAAATACAAAACACACCTTCACCATTGGTCATTTTAGCACCAGGACCTGAGTTCGCTATTTGTGAAAAGGCCACGAAACCAGGGCGCAGTGAACGATGGATCCCAACACCTGGCGCGCTTCCGGCGGAAGCCAATCGACTCCTGGGGCTGCCGGCGCCATGATGACAGAACTCAGCCTGATCCCGGCTTGAGGGCATGGGTGGCTCGTCTTTTGAGGCTACCCCTTTTTTGTGGTTTTAAAGGGACACCAAAAGGAGGACCGCCCATTTTGGGGGTCCCAAAAAAGGACATACCCGCATGCCAAGAGAGCTAAAAAAGACAAACACAATTTCAAGCTGATTGCTGCCTAACGGAACCCCTCGACTTCAAGCTTTCTTTTGGTGGCCGTGCAGAATGATGACGCTCGCGCTTGATGGCAAGCCCTAACATCTAACATGTGATTGTTTGTGTCTTCTTCTTGTTTTTTTTGAGGTTGGGTGGGTAGGTGGAATGAGGTGTTGTTTGTTCCGGGGCTGGTTTCTGTTCGGTCTGGCTCCCTGGCTAGTTGGAACTGGGTGGGTGCACTGGTGCCATCTTTGTGTCATTGGTGAGTTGAATGCTGGTTTCTGAGCGCCGTCCACCTGGCTGGCAAATTGTAGGACGCGCGAAAGATAAACACCTCTTTCCATCTTCGGGTGGGTTTGGATTTGGGGGATTTGAAGCCCTGGTCTTGAGGGATAGGCGCCTGGAACACCCCCAAGCCACCGAGGCTATTGTTGAACTTGCACAAAATGGGCATGTGACATACGACCTAAGGGGCCCCGTAAATTTGATTTCTGCCTTTTTCGCCCCGGAGTAACCCCCTTAATGTCTCTAACAAAAACATGCATTCGTGCCCACCCTCAAAGCCTGGAAGAAAGCACTCATTTAATGCCCGGAAGCAATTGAAACTTCTGCATCATGTGCCTCTGATTCTCAACCCGTTTGTTGAAAACAAATCGAAGCTAAGCGCATTGAAGCTTCAGACAACCAGAATCAAGAACCAAGACCCTTCCTATTGAATCTTGGTATCGCAGGTTCGCCAACAAAAAGTTCACAGCGATTGAATCTTATTGGGATCAAGAACCAAGATCCAAGCTTCCAACAGCTCTTCCCAAATATTGGCCCCTCCAGTTTCCAAATCTCAAAGCGCTTTCAAGCTTGAGTGAGGTCACTTTGATAATTCACATAGATACACCGTCGTATTTTGTGGTGGCCGGGCAGGAAGGCTTGAGTGCGGTGTATGGATGGATGGACGGATGGATGGATGTACGACATACGTTCGTATGTGTGTTGTGCTATGTTATGTTTTGTATGTTGTGTATGTTGTGTATGTCGTGTATGTAATGTATGTACTGCATGTACGGTGTGTAATGTATGTAATGTAATGTAATGTAATGTAATGAAACGTAACGACACGTAATGTAATGCAATGTAATGATATGTAGTGTATGTAATGCAATGCAAGGCAATGCAATGTAACGTATGTATGCACGTGTGTCAGGGTTTGTGGGTGTAGATGTATGTAAAGGTGTGTTATATGTGTATATAACTGTATCTTGATGTACGCAACTGTGTGTAAATGTATGTGCGTGTGTACGTACGCACATATGCCCGGCTGTCTGTCAGTCTATCCATGTGTCTGTCGGTCCATCTGTTGCTGGCTGTACAAATATGCAATATGTATCTGAGGGTTGTCCAATATGCCTTGCTCCAAAAATCGCCTTCCGCCTCGCCCTTCCGCGAACTTCCGCGAACTTCCGCGATGGAGGTAAAACCACACGTTCTGATACGTGTCTGAACATAAGTAAGTTTCCGTAAGGTAAAAGCCAAGAGGAAGAGCTAGACTAGGAATGGAGCGAGGATGGGACGAAGAGCAGAACGAGCAAAAGGAAGGAGAAGGACAAGCAAACGTAGGAAGCGGAGCAGCAGAACACCGGAGAAAGCAAAGGGAACGTGGCAACAAGCGACAAGCTACGCTACGTACAGAGACTAGCCACCCCCCGCGCACGGCGACAGCCACAGTTGCGGGGGCTTCGTTTTGGCATCGTTTTGGGTATCGTTTTGAGCACTAGCACGCTGCTACAACTGCGGCGTCCCCGGGCGAGAGAATGAGCAGCAGCACTGGGAAACAGACACAAGCGACATTTCACGCTAAAACAAGAGACGGGTGGGCCAGCCCCGGCGCAAGGCGACAGCTGCAATTGTATGGGTTTTGTTTTGGCATCGCTTTGGGTATCGTTTGGAGCTCCGAATGTAATGCCGGAACGAAAAACAAATTTCGGGCCGCGAAATTTGTTTTTCGCGCTTTTAAACTCTGCCAGACTCGGTAGCTCAGTTGGCCCCAGGCACTCCGCGGTATCGTTTCGTAATTGCGCAGGTATCGCTCGGGGTATCGTTTTCATCTCAGCACAAATCAACATGACTTTGACAGCCCAGCTGAAACATCGCAGCTTTTAAGTACTAGCAGAGCACGAGCTGTCCCAGCTCAAGCAGCACAACTTTTTAGTACTCGTGTAGTACAAGAGTAAAGCTTCATCCCATGATAGCACATAACCTTCCGCGAAACTTCCGCTCGCCCTTCCGCGGTCTTCCGCGACCAAAGCGCCGGAGCACCGAATATGCTTTCGTATTCAGCCCTTACAATAAAATCCATAGGGGGGTTTTGGTCGATCCTCATATAGATATATGCATATGTAATACGTACATATTTATGATACAAACAACATACTATTATATACATACATAACTATGTCAGCCATCATAATTAGTTGGGCCGTCTACACAACAAGTCTTACAAACGCACTGACTCAAAGCGGCTGTTGCTGAAACCTTGCCACAAGCAATCAGACGGCTGGCTGCATGGTTTCAAACCTCCCTTCTCTTATCGGTGGGTATGGGTCAAAATAGAGGGACCGAAGAAAAAACGTAGTTCTCATTTTGGTGTCCCTCTAAAGCCCCAGAATGGGTGAGTGCCGACGAGCGCTAATTAAGCACAAGCATCGTGGACTCATCTGGCATGATGGCATCGGCGCGCATCTTCTGCAGCAGCCTGCTTGCCTGCCAAGAAGGGCTACCTCTCTATGGCCCCGCTTGTATCCGATAGCAAATCAGCGAAACTCGGATGTTTGCATCCACTGCCTGACTGAGAAGCGTGTACCAAGTAGAATGTTATAATTCGGGGTCCTTTGGACATCATTCAGGTCACTGAGGTGGTTCCAGAAGTTCGCTACTAAAAACTCATGGCCAATGTCCGTGCCTTTGCCCACTGAGTGCCCACGTGACAGGCGTTGATGGCAGCACCTGGGCGAGAGCAAGGTGTACAGCGACCAATAGCCAGGCAGGCAAGGGCCATGAACATCCTGCGCAAACGCTGGTGAAAATGACGAAGAGAGCACATGGCTCGGTTTCTTTTGGGGGACCCCCCAAAAAAATAAAATAAAATAAAAAATGGCGCAACGGTTTCCTGTTGGTTTCAAAACAAATCCACAAAACACGGGGTACCCGCTCGAAGAAAAACACAAGGGTCTGTCAAGAAAGGTATGATTCAAGGGCAGGTTCGGGGTATGGCTCCGAGTCGCACTTCCCGTGGCGAAAGGCCGCGCACCGCGAGACCATACGACCCAAGTGTGTTGCCAAAGAGCAATGGGCGAATTGCTTTCTCGAATTACGCTTTGGCTAGATGGGTGTGGTTGCTTGTTGGAGTTGGTACCCCGCTTCGTTTGGATGGTTTTCAGTTTAAGGGAACAACAAAACCACACCTATTTTGCAGGCTTGACCGCGTTTATGGGCCTGGGCTTCGCCTTCATGGTCTCACAAAGACAAACAAAATCAACCGGGTGACCGCCATGTGGGCGGCTTCGAACAGCCGAGCCTTGGTGCCTTTAGGCCGCTTCTCCCTGGGCCGATCCGAGGCTCCAGGCTGTAGAGGATAGCATCCGGCAAGACGTAGGCCTGCCTGCGGCCCCGGCCCGGCCGGGGGTCGGGGGGGTTGCCTCCCAACATGGGACTTGGAGCCCCTCCTGGTGGTAAGGGGAAACAGGAAAACCGAAAAAAAGCGCCAGATCTTAGGTTCTGAATCGAGCGATTCTGATTTTTTTGAGAGACCCCCATGCTCCAAATTTGACACGGAGCAACTCCCACATCTTGGAGTTCTGGAGAGACGGGTACGCCACACCTCTGAGTGAGACCCAGATACGCTTCTCTCTTTTTGAGGGTATACCTTGGTTGACGTTGGAAGGGGAGCAGTTACTTAAGTGGGGATTTCAACCACTAAACCACAATAAGCAAACATGTAACATGTTTCCCAACGACAACCATGATACCGCTCTTTTGTGGTTGTTTAAAGCAAAAACGAAAAGAACCACCGTGGCGCATTTTGGGGGGTTCGGATTCCCCCAAAAACGACGAGCCACGGATGTTTGCATCACAGGCCTTGCATCATCAAGAAGCTGGAGGCATCTCTCCCACTCCCCACCTGGCTCGAAGAGTGGTTTTCTCTTTCCAACGGATTGCCTTGGGCGTTCTTTTCAAAGCCTTAGGCTTTGAAATGGATATGGGTGGCTCGTCTTGAAGGTCTGACCTACAAGGGGGATACCCTCCAAAAAAGACACGCCAAAAATTCGACCAGTAAATTGAGGCTTGCATAGGCCAATGGGTTTGTCAGTCCAAGCTGATTCTGACGAAAGCCCGCGACGATGAGTCTTTTCTTGGGTACAAAAGACACCAAAGGAAAGCCAAAGGGAAACTCAAGGGAAACCACAGGGAGACCAAAGGAAGACTGGTCTCATTGTTTTACCATGGTCAAAGTCACCCCCTAAGTGGTGGGTTAATGGGAAACAACCCCATTTCAGATCAAAACAAATTTGTGGTGTTCTATGGCTGGTCCATGTCCCATTCCGACTCAAATCATGACTCCCGGAAAGTCGCAGGGCAGGCTCTTCCCGCAGGCGTTCACGCAGCTGCTGAACGAGACCTCGCACGCGCCGAGCTCAGCGTGGACTATGCGCCGAGCGCTGAAAATCTGGAAGTGTACCGCCACCCGAATGCATTTCATGCCAATTTGGCACCAATGGAAGCAAAGACTAAAATCTGCGGTTTGCCCAAGCTCTTTAATTTTGAGCCAAATGTCCCTTTAAACCAAAGACCCAACATGTACCCCCGATGCAAAGGTCGTATGGCATCCGAACGCTGAGAACCTCCAGTAATTTCCAGGAGTCGGGCTTCGTGCTTCGTGCGATCCACCCAGGAAGGCCCCCAGTGTATCAAACCAAGCTGAAACAGCTGGGAGGAATCCAACAAATTGAGATAGGTGCCTCATCATTGAGGGCATCCTTTTTGGTTAGAGGGAAACCAAAAGGCAACCCACCATTTTTGGGGGGGTCCTCCGAAAAGATGGAGAAAACAAAATACTCCCAGCATGACCTATGCCCAAACAACAGCTGCAGCGGTCCTCCAATGCTCTCCCTGAGCGTGGATCGTTCAGGCGCCGGCCACGTCTGGGTGCAGCGAGTCTGCTTCGGCCTGCGAGAAATGAACGGCGCGGAGAAGATGTGCTTACAAACATCTAGGGGTACCTTCATTTCCACTCTTTCCAGGGATCCTTCTTTCTAGAAAACCTCCGGAAACCCAGGGAAAACGGCCGATAGAAAACAGCAGTCCCAACATGGTGGACTTACAAAAAGCTGGGGGAGCGGACAACATCATGGCAGAAGTCGCCATCAAAAAGCAAGTATTGGAATCGGTCCACTATTTTCATTGCGGTGATAGCAATGCATGTTGAAGGCCTGTAGCACAACAACCAAGAGGCTTTGCAAGTGGCATGTCACTCATGGCAGTAGAGCTCTCTCGAAACAGGAGAACTGCGACTTGCAAATGTCCTGTTCGTTTCCATTCAAGCACCACAAAAAGGGGTCCTTGATGTTTGACATGCAACCAGGCAACCAGGCAACCAGGCAACCAGGCAACCAGGCACCAGCAACAGGCGGGTCCTCCATACCCATGAAGCGCTTGCACACTTGACAAACAATGCTAGCCAGCTTGACCAGCAAGCAACATCACCTCTCCGTTCTTGAGGTGTGCAAAGCAATTCACCTAAAAGCAAACGCGCAAAATAAACTTTTCTCGAGATGTTGCTATTGACAAACGTATGACCTGGACTTGGGAGCCCGGTGGCGGTGTCGTTCTTCGATTGGCCCTGGATGGTTGGCTATGGGCTGCAGCAAGCTACTTGTTGGCTGGTGGCTATTGGCTCCTGGTAGATGATTGATTGCTGGTTGTTGGTGCTCACGGTCACCAATTTGTAACGGTTTCCCTGTACATGTTCAAGAACACGTCAGCCCCCCGCAAAGGAGCCCACTGCAAATTGGCACACATAAATGTCCAACTTTCTTATCTTTTCCGAAAACATCCCCTTTGAAATTTAGCGGCTGGGGTTGGAACACTCATGGGAATCCAAAAACCGACAAATCGCTGTAAACACTTTTGCAAGGCAAACACCACCTGGGAATACGCTACTCTCAAGCCTCTACGAGAGACGCCAAGGACTGCTCCCAGTCATCAGCCTGGCGCAAAACGGAAACCCATGGACGCACACCTTAGATGTGCGTGTGTCGTTTTTGGAGTCCAAAAACATGGTTTTCCTCGAAAGGTCTCCATTTGATCTAGCACGAACAAAAGGTACCCTGAAAAAAACAGACGAGCCACCCACATCCCGAGCTCCGACGTACCGATAGTCAAGGTCATGGTTCCCTGTGAGAGGGCTGAAGTCCCCGAAGTGGGTAAGTGATATTTGGCGTTGCCAGTGCACAAGCGCTTGCTCTTACGTCACCGCGGTCCTGAAGCCAGAGCTTTCAATTGGTGCCACCATGTCAAGGCTGGGCCGACCTTGAAGTAGGCTTTGACTGAACTTCACAGCGCGATGGTGAACAGATTGCGACTTGAGCCCCTTCTAGATTCTAGCGGTAATCAGTGCACGGAGCACATCTTTATCGTAAATGCAGGCAAACTTGGGAAATTGAAAATCAAAGGCATTGCCTACCACGAGCTCGAAGCCAAGTTAACCAGGTACAAGTACGAAAAAAACATGTGGGAGTTTCTGGTAAGGGGACCCACGAAATGATGGTGTCCTTTTGCTCCCCTTAAAACCACCATCATGTGTCCACTTTTTTTAACAAGGAGCAGTCCAAGCGTCGCCGATTAGTCTTCATGCACCTCCTGCACAACAGGAACGGAATTATCAGGCTCTGACAGTTGCCACATGCGCCAGTTTGGCTGATTCATCTTGCCACACCTGATGGTATATGCCTCAAGACGGGTCGTAGGGTCAGGGAGCATCCTGTCTACCCGATGCGCCATTTCAGCCTTCAAGAACAAGGAACGAAGCGATGGATTTGCTTGGTATTTGTCTATGATGTCAAGGTGCCTTCCATGCAGGACCTGAAATTGCAACGGTGCGCCTTGAGCTTTGACGCGATGGATCGGCTGACCACCGGCAGGATAATACATGATCGTCTCTGCTTGAATCTCTTCTGACACATAGATTTCAAACATGCCTTTGTGGGGACCATCTGGCACTGGCAACATGCTCCATTTGCCTGCCTGATATGTTCGCTCAAGATGGCGTAACAAGAGCAGACCGTTGCACTCCTCGTGGACGTTCACGTCCCATGCTTTGCCCACGCTGTCCTGTCCCTTTGGGATGATGTGCTCGGCAACTGCGGGGAACGGACCTCGTGCTCTGCGAAATTCGTCACCTGCATTTTTGTCTTGAAACCAGCAAGGAGCCCTCTCAGCGGGAAACAACTGTGACAACACCATGCATTGACAGAAGTTGTAGTAGTCTCCAACCTTCCGACGCCAGTCACTGCCTCGCGTCTGCGTAGCCGCTGCGCTTTCCGTGACTGCAGAAACCGTCGCCATTTTCATTTGGAGCGCGCAAGTCAAATCCACCTTTTCCTCAATTCTCTTCAGCACGAGGGTAGCCGCGATATCCTGAAGAACGTGTGGAAACAGAAGAAACAAAGGCAACGATTACAGCGCTAAGAACCACACCCCAAAACCACCAAACTAACCAAGCAATAAAACCTAGCAAGGACCAGAGCCCAAACGGACGCTCTACTTGGTTTTTAGATAATGTGTGCAGATACATTGCCGACCTAAGGCTAGGACATGAGGCGGCTGCATTTCGCGAAAACGAAATAGATGACCACAGACCTTGTTACTAAAACCTTTGCAGGCTCGAAAGGTCAGGAGCCGCTTGAGCTAGATTAATGCAGCACGCGTTCCTCGAAAGATGTTGAGAATGTAAAGGCAGACGCTCAGAGGGAGATCTGAATGAGAGAATCAGATAGTACGAAGCAGGTTTTAGGAGAACCCAGCAACTTGTATCTGAGCAGATTGTGATTGGGCACGGCTGTGCTTTTTGCAACTCTCCGTACTTGTTGCAGGTCATCCAAGCTGATGTGCTTGCACGGGCACTTGTTCCGAGCTCAAGTGGTACAGGCTCTGTGCCTAAGTAGGTGGATATAGAAGTCCTTGAGATAGAAACTGATGTTCCTGTATATCCTGTATATATCTAAAAGCCTGGGCGACTCGTACATTTTTTTTCGCATCGCTGCTTGCATGTTGCCCAGGGGCCCAACTACTTCTGCAGTTTGGAATGTTTGTGAACTTTATGTTGCTGTACGCTCAGGTGTTCAGGTAGGAGAAGGTGCTTTTTCTCTGTTTCGCGTATTTGAAGAGATATCCGAGAACTCTTGGGCATGTTACCTTAGCTTGAAAGTTAAGCTGATGCTCTTGACTTTGAAGGACCTTGCATTGTGCAGAAGACACTGCGGTTGTGTTCAGGTCTTATGACCGATGCTAGAGTGGATTGAAGTTTTCGCTTGACATACGGGCTTTTCAAATTTGCAACACTTTCTTGTTCTGGTCACAAAACTTGTTCCGGTCATAGTTTTGTCAGCATTTGTGCAGCAGATGCGTTTGAAACGGGTAGACAAATAAATTTTGAAACTAAAATTAATTTAACAGGCCATAAATCTTTACAAGGCCCAGACGCAAGGGTTCACGCAACCAGCGGCTGCGACGGCCAATTTCCCAGCTAGCAAGGGTATATCAGATGTCACATGCGGGGCGGGTACTAAGCATATTAAAAGGACGAACTCTTTTTCTAGACGCCGATCACATAAAGGATTACCGCACTTCCCCTGTAACCCCAACCCAGCAATGTTAATGAACTATATTTTCCGTATCTGCTTTTTTTGGTAGCATCCAGCCTTAGCAAGTGGGCTTAAGATTACGGCTGTGTGGTGCATGGGGATACCCAGACTGGAGCTTCGCCCCATCGTGATTTACTAAGCCAAAAACCAATCTTGCGCAGAGGGGGGCCCGGGGGGATACATTTTCAAAAACACACTAGTCGGACATACTGCCTTGTGGAGTAGAGTTTGACATGTTCACCATGTGCATTGTGCAAGAAAATCAAGCTCTCAATAGTCTGGGTAGTTCTAACCGTGCAGTCTTGCTGCGGTGCTGGTACACATTACAGAGCATCGTGCCGAAAGCTAAAGTTGCCTTGAAAGCAAAAAGCAGCAGCGGGAAGTGAGGCGTAGGCTGGGGCTAAGCGTGCTTCCTTTCTTGGAGTCGGTATGGTGTGATTTTAGGGGCCCGGTTGTGGACCTGAACTTGAACATGGCACAAAAATAGGAACAAAGTAGGAAGTTGGAAGAATTGGAACAAAGTAGCAAGTAGGAACAAGAACCCAAAGTAGGAAGAATGGGAACAAAGTAGGAATCAAGTGGGAACAAACATTTAAAAGAAGGAAGAATAGGAACAAAATAATAACCCAGTAGGAACAACAACTTAAGTAGGACAAGAATGGGGGCAAAAAGTAGGAACCAAGTGGAAATTACAACTTAAAAATAGGAACAAAGTGAGAACCAAGTAGGAACAAGAACCTGAAAGTATGACAAAAATACGACCAAAGTAGGAATACAAGCCTAAAATAATATCATACTCAATATTCAAAAAACAATTTTGGTTTTTGCAATATGATATATTTATCTAGCTTATTAAAATTTACTGTTTTATTAAATATTTTCCATTTATAAAATTAACAAAATTCCATTATTTTGTTAATATTCACAAATGATTGTAAATACCTTAATTATACCAATTTCAGTTGCTATTTTTAATGTTTACCCAAGTAAATTAATTATCCCTGAAAAACAACAATTCATTCAATAGTTCAATATCAATCTTTGGCAGTGAGCAGGTCGTTGAACCATTCTGGCAAAGTGACCTGAAACCATTTTTTTAATGTTTCAAGTGTTGCCCGCTTGAAATGCAGAAACATGCTATTTAAATCAGTGCTTCATTATGCTTCATGGCAACTTGGACGAATGCAGAAGAACTATTGCACCAAGTGAGACTGCAAGCGATGGGAGCAAATTGTCCATGTCCTGCGGCGTTGTTTCGTGCTCTTCTGACTTCGTCCCGGCTCAATGTTGCATGCTAGCTTGTGCACTGCTATTCTGGCCCGGTGTTTGTTTGTTTGTTTGTTTGCTTTTGTTTTGAGGTCTGCGATTAATCATGCAATTTGCCTGTTTGTTTGTAATCCTGTTCTGCTTGGTTTCTTCCCAACGTGATTGACCTTGCGCTCAAATGTTTTTCAAGTCAAAACTATTGCTTGTTGTTCGGTCGCCTACCTGCTCTTTTCCCCATCTTTTTGTTATTTCTCTAACTTGCGTCCGCCTTCAATGTCTCTCTGTTCCGTTGTCCTGTTTTTTGCGTGTGCATGAAATGAAGCTCTGAAAGACGAATAAAACCTCATGTGGACTGCGAAGCAATACTTCCCTCCCTAAATCCAAAAAAACACCTAAACCACTCAAAATCCCAAAAACATCGAAACAACACCAAATATTTCATTTGTGTCTGTTTGCATCTGGTCTTTAGTCATAGTTTAGTTCAGTTGTGCTTACATATTCTTCATTGTTTACGATTCTAATTTTTGTTGATTCTGTAGTTCTCGTTCCAAGCCTTCAGTTTCAGCATTTACGATCTGTGACCTTTCTATGTTGGATTTCCTTGTTCCTTTTTTTGCTGTCTCCATTTGATTCTACATGTCCCCGCTTCAGTTCTGGCTTTCTGCGCTGCTTTTATCACATTTGAACTTCAATTCATGTTCCTTTCTTGCGCTTTCAACTGTCTTGTTCCTTCCTCGCATGTTTCTTGTATGGAACGCTTGCTTCATCCCTGCATTTCTACACCTGCGCCCTTTCTTGTGCTCTATAAGATGTTTAGCTGCTCAATCGACAATGAGTCATTCGAATCTTGTGGGTTACCTGCTCCCGTTTGCTATTTGCTACTTTGTCCGTTTGTCTCTTGCATAGTGTCTTGGCTGGGCTGCTCCTTTGTGGTTGGGTTGTTCGCATGCCATTATTGTCTGCGATGCTGAGCTTCATTTTGATTCGTCTTGTGATTGTGTTTTGTTTTCTTTCAGGAATGTTTTTTCCATTTGCTGTCGTTTTGTGGCTTTAGCTTTGGAAGGCAAACAGCTTCCGCTCAGTCTAAGCAAAAAAATCCAGGGAAGCAAACACAAAGAGTAACAAAACAATGCTGTGAAGCTTTATCCACTTCAACATCAAGGAAGAGGACATACAAAGGATTCTTCACGATATTGCCTCCAATGATTCTCTTTTATCTCTGTCTCGTTGAACCTGGGGATCTATTCAATCTTCCTGGAACTGCCGCTTCATCATTCTTTGCTGCTGAAATTCAAACAGATTGAACACAATAAAACAGACAATGCATGTCCAGATTTGTGTGGCTGGCGCCTGTGAAGCTGCAGCCACTTCAGCATCAGGGAAGGAAACGTACAAAGGCTTTTTCATTTCTTCACCTCCTGCGATTTCAGCAACTCGAAGGTCTGACCGAAGTGCTTCGGAGCCACCATCTTTTGCCTCTTCGCTTTGAAAAAGTTGAAGATCATCACTATCAACACCACCCAATTTTTGTTGCACCTCGTCCTTGACTGTCTTGAGCAAAGCATACACATTTCGTATGCCCGCGGCGTTGATCTCAATGGCGCTCGCACCGCCTTTCACTTTGACCCATAGATACTTCTCACGTCGTGGAGACCTACTCCTCTCTGCCATGGCGAGCGCCGGGAGCACAAATCAAGCAAGCGTTCTGCGAGAAGCAGTGTGCTTGTTTGTTTCCCAGTTCACTGTGCTGTCTCCAGTATGTCATGGAACTCAGCCCAAGAAATCAAGCACATCTAACTCTCAGAACAATTACAATGCTTCAGAAAACAAAATTACATTGTCTTGGTTTTTGTTGTGTGGATTTTATTGCCAACTGCGCTCATTTGGTTGGTATGCTGCATGTAGTTGTGCGGGTTCACAGAAGAAACTGCCGCAAATCGAAAATTGGCAAGCACGCTGCAATTGTCAGAGGCATTCCCTTCTACTTCAACTAGCAATCCGGACCATCACTAAGATATGAAAAGCAAACAAATCCACAGGCGATGATGCCTGGAAAGTGTTCCAGTAAGTTTTTGCATTTTGTTTTGAGCGGCATCCACCTTACCATCTTCCTGAAGCCAAGTTGAATGATTGAAAATGTATTAAAGGTTCACCCTGGTCCGTTCGGAGTTGCGACGGCTTAAACATATGAAAGAGATTCCACAGAACAGCTTGCAAATATGCATTGCTGAAAAAGACTTGACGACCCTGCATGCCTCCAATTGCAATTCTGACAGGTGCAATAACGCTTAGTCTTCTGTGCGCGTCCTCCCTCACGCCAGAGGGACCCATTTCTGCTTCTGCAAAATGTGCTTGGAACCTATATTCCTGCAAGTCTGACTTCGTTTGAATCATGGCCCTGCGACAAGCGCTTGATCAAAATGTTGCGGACTAGTCAACTGTGAACAACTGCGTGACTTGCTGGCCTTACCACGCCTGCAAGGAGGAGCTAGGCAACATGCGGCAAACACGCACAGCGCAAGCGTCAAGTCTAGCGTAAAACAAGGCTCGTTCTGCGATTGCTTCCTGCTGGCATGACAATGTAGCACGATGATGCCAAGCACAGCCCCAGTACCGCCATAGATTGTCAACACGGGTGGTCATGTACCGTAAACTGCGAAAACTAGTTTACGCAACTCGCAAGTAGTGAAAACAGCCATGTGGCTGTGTTTGCTGGTTGCTTTACTTCTGCACCTGAAAATGTCGGAGGCGGAACCGTCAGCAGGTCGAGCCTTGTCGCAGGCACTGATGACCTTACCATCTCCGTGTGGATTGCTCTCGTGGCAACAAATGTAGAGGATTGCTCAGCTTCTGCCTGATTGGTGGTTTGGATTCGTGTTTTGGCGGTTCTCCATTTATCCTCCACAAGAACCAGGAGTTCAAATCCCCAAACTACCACCAACTAATGGTTACCTGAGTTGCTGCAGTTGCCTGCAAGTCCCGTTCTTTTGCCTGGTGGACAAACACAAGCATCCCACCTGCTTCGTGCTTCGGACAGGCAAGCAGGCAAGCAACCAGCCAGCAAGAAAGCAAGCAAACAAGCAGGCAGGCAGGCAGGCAAGCAAGCAAACAGCCAGCAAGCAAGCAAGCAAACAGGCAGGCAGCCAGCCAGGCAAGCAAACAGCCAGCAAGCAAGCAAGCAAGCAGGCAGGCAGGCAGGCAGGCAGGCAAGAAAGCAAGCAGGCCAGCAAACAGCCAGCAAGCGAGCAAGCAAGCAAGCAGGCAGTCAAGCTGTCAAGAGACGGCAAGGTGACGTCCCGTGGGACGCTGTCCACCGAACCCTCCAGCTGTAATACCAACCACGTAGAAAGGTGTATACGGTCAAACCGTTATAGCCGAACCCGTGCAAATGTTGTAAGGGAGAAGGAATAATAGTTACAACAGTGGTCCTGACAAATGCAGCGCAGGCGAAGTGTTTTCCGCTCTCAACTGCCGATCACGTATGAACGCAGCTTCACATAAGATCTTGAACCTCACTTGTGACTTGAGCCAAATGGCAATCAATGGAACCCTGTAAGCAACACAAACCCGGACCTCAGAACTGCTTCCCAATTTAGGCACGGGGCCAGGAGGGTTTTAACATCCCCCATTTGGGTCGCATTGTTCATCATGCGGTCCAAACACCACAAAACGTTCCACTGGCCACGGCTTCAGCTACGAAATTGTGTCGTGCACTCTTTCACTCGCTATCGCTACACCGTTCATTCATTGTGAAACCTGCCGGGTTCGATTGAAAATGAAACATGCATCCGCAAATCGTAGCACATCCCCATATGCAGGTGTAATGTATACACTATCCTCACGTCATTTTACAACCATTGAACATCCCAGCTGCCGCATTTGCGCATCGCGCAGCCGCCATCCACAGAAATGGGTTGGCCATAGAAGTTCAACAGAAGCGCCTGATCGTAAGCGATCTGCATATCACCGGCAAAGAAATATCGGTGAGCAACCAATGCAAAACATAGCCATTCCAGGTACCATGAATAATATATGTAATAGTTCCATCCATGAATATCCGGAATGTCATAGCCGTCGGAATATGTAAATGTATACACATCCATTCATCTTGGACGCATGAAATCATATCATGATGTAGAGTCGTTCCATCGCAATAACATTGATGAGACGCAAGCAACAGACGGGGACTAGCCCACATCGTGCCACAATCAACATCTGCATTACGCATACCTGTCTCCAATGGACAGTCTGTGGGTACGTCGACGGAACTCTTCGTCCAAATTCTTTTGGGCTTCTCGCGCCCGGACACACTTCTTGTGATGATCTTCTGGTATCCAATGCCCCATTCGGAGGCACCAATCCAGCAGAGGTGTGTCGCACTTATTCGGGTCAGTGGCTGCAATAATGGCGCTCACATTGACCGAATAACCATATTTGCCAAGGTTCAAGCCTTCCCTTACGAATGATACATATTTACAGTTGAAAGCCAGGGAGAAGCATCTGTAAATGATATCACCCACCGGGTGCACGCGATCCTTGACCAGGAGCTTCATTTCGTCTTTGGTGATGTCGAGGATTCTCGCTGCAATCCACAGCTTGTAAAATATGTATAGCCCCTCGCACTTGCATACCATCAGACGAATGTATTCATCACGCTCCTCAGCCGACCGGAAGGCCCTTGTTCGAACATTCTGAGATTGAGAAATCTTCAGTACCGTCGATGGCAAAAGGATCCCTTCCTGATCAATCTCCGTAATGTTGGGGTACTTCGCGAAGTCGTTGTGGTGTGGGCAGCCTAGCCTCCCTTCGAGCGCGGCATCGACCGTTCTCTTTTCACCACCTTCGAACATCCCCCACATCTTTGACATCTGCAGTGCGATGAATCCCGCCATGTATTGAGCTTCGCGCAGCTCATCAAGGCAAATCGCCATCCGCTGGGTATTTATGATATCCCGCGATGCCAAGTCATTGTCGCGGTATTGCCAACCGCCATCTTCCTCCTCAGACATGTAGCCGGACGTGTATCCTTGCGTGTCCATGTCGTCTTCTTCAGGGACGTCCTCCGCCTCATCATCCTCTTCCTGTGCTGCCGCATCATGGTTGGCTTCGTCTTGCGCGCGCCTGGCATCACCCGAGACATTGGGCCTTTGGTTGCCCTCGTCGTCGTCGGAACTGATGTGGATGTAGAATCTCCCGGTAGAGATCAATTGCGCTCCACATTCCAGGCACACACAGAAGCATGTGGGAATCGCGGTCGCGCATGACGGACATATCCGGCACCTCAGTCCTTCCCATGTCTCGTCATTCAGGATGACGACTTTGCTGATCTCGTCCCTGACCTCGTTGGTCTGCGCATCAAACTCCTCCATCTTGTTTTCCCGAAACAGTTTGCATGCACGATCAACCATGTCTTTGATGTAGTGCAGATTGTCGGCACCTGCCTCGGTCTCAGGCATCCTCTCGTTGATCTTCGCGACGTTCTGGAGGAACATCGCAGCCGATTCCTGGGAGGAGTTGACGAAACCCGGACAGATCTCGTTTTCCACACATTTTGAGTACGCTCGCTTCACGTCCCCGTACTCCAGGCATTTCCCTCCGTTGCTTTTGCCAATCCAAATGGACTTGACCTCATAGAACGGGATCACGTCAAAGACCATGAATGTCCCATTTGCCGCGACTCCAGCTCCATACCGCGCGAGGGTCGCACTGGGAATGTAGATGATCGCAATCGGATCCCCCGACCTTACGTTTCGTAGCGTCACCTTCGTTGCTACGTTCATCTCATCCCATGGAGCAAATGCCCCGAAGTGCAATGCTAGCCTGTTTCCGCCATCGATCCCGCCGGGGACTAGCCCACAGCGGACGATGCCCGGCAGGTTCTCCACATACGTCACATGGAATGCTCCTCCGAGAGAATCACCCATTCTTGCGGAATACCTATTTGCCAGTGCGGATGAGCTCATGAATCCAAAATCACTGTGATCAGTTGTGACTCGGATGCACCAAGGCCTGTACCATCCATCGCATCTGTTGAACATCCTGTCGATGTCATCCCGATCCAGGCCAGCATAGTTCATCTCCTCCCTGGCCGCCTTCATGTCATTCGGGTTCATGACGCTTGGAAACCTTGCTGCCAGGACCTGAAATCTCGATTTCTTATGTCCAGACTCCTGCCACTTGATCACTTCCATGATGCCCATGTATCGTTTTGCTCTCGAGGTTGAAGGTGGGAATATGTCGTTGTTTCGGTCGTCAATGACTGCGTCAATGTCGACCCATCCACCTTCATCGCATCTGAAAACACTTCCTCGGCAATTGCCGATTTTGTGCCGAAGGACTCTGCATAGGTTGTGAGATAGCTGGTTTGCTTGATCTTTCGTAGCAAATACCGAGCGATCGTCGCCAATCTTGCATAGTGGAGCACCGTCAAAGGGAGCAAACGCAGAAATTGACGCTCTTGCCAAGCTGCATCACATCCACCTGTTCAAGGCCGGCACCCTTGGGAAAGTACTTGGGGTCAACAATAGATGCGTACGCCCATGGCATATGCACATCGCTCACGTCGACCCAAAAAAGACGCCGAACTGCGGATTACAGGATGGGTTCAACACCCTCGTTCTAAAAGCGTCCTTAACTTCCCCCCCCCCCCCCCCCCCCCCCCACTGGGGGCCCCCCCCCCCCCCCCCCCCCCCCCCCCCCCCCCCCCCCCCCCCCCCCCCCCCCCCCCCCCCCCCCCCCCCCCCCCCCCCCCCCCCCCCACCCCCCCCCCCCCCCCTGTCTGTTTGTCCCCACACGATGTAGGAGTCACCCACCGTATTGTAGCTCTCCTCCCTCAGCCGTGTCAGCCATCTCCACCAGATTGATGGTATAGCTATACATTTCTATTGTCTCTTTCCCTTCTTGTCCCCCTTTCTTGCGTCCCTTGGACGTCGATGAGGACGGTTCTTCCGTATCCCCCATTTCTTCATCCGAGGAAACATGATCGCTGCTGAGAAGCTCACGGATCTTCTTCATCGCCTTCTCATTCCCAGCAGCCTCCTCATTGTTCTTGCAGTCGCCGTCGTGGGCCAGGTTCGCGCATCTCATGCAAATTCCCATCTCTCCCATGCACTTTTCCATTGAGACCAGGATCCCGAGTGCCGCTCTCCGCCCATCAATCACTCGCTGCTTCTTCTCTTCTTTCTCAACGTTGGGCTGAGAGCTTCGGCTCGGGTCTGGCACTTGACCAAGACCGTCACCTTCACTCTCTGTTGCCTTCCTCTTGGATCCTTGGGTGGCATGCTCGGCCGTCAGGGATCGTGGATGTCTGGGCTTGATCTTGTTCATGATGTCCAGCACTTCTTTCGTGGGCGCCCCGAGCTGGGCGGATGGTTTATTCCGCTTTCGGTTCTGGCCCGTCGTGTGGCTCACGTTCCCGGCGAGGTGTCGTACGATTGACTGCTCAAACTCCCTCTTGATCTTCCATGCATCTTTCCACAATGGAAGTTCGTGCTGAAAGTACGACATCACCTCAAAGAATCCCAATGTCATCTCGGCGACGTCTCCCAAGGACTCCTCATTCGTAGTCTGTCCCAGGAGGTCATACATCGTCCCCTGATCAAGCACGCTCTTGATCCAGGATGAATAGGCCACGTTGCCAAGATCTCTGTCTATCACAAAGATGGAGGTCCTCTCCTCAACTCCCTCGGAATTCTTGCACGTGATCACATCCCGAGATGCACACAATTGCTTCCCGTGACCGTTATTGTAGAACTGTGCTGCCTGATCCATTGTCATGCTCACGAAACCCACG